ATGCTTTCAAATGTACGCGTTGGTCACGGTGTTTTACACATTCGGAGATCTTCACAAGTGTAGCTGCAGGTAGCGACTGATCCATCGAGAAAGTGACCTATTAATAATAATAGTGATCTACTAATATGAAAAGAGACGAAAATGAAGAAGACTCAGCTACAGGCTAAGGAAACTGCAAAACAATTCAATGCATATGTATGGAGAAAAATAAGGAAAAGAAAAACCTTTTTAGCCTCCTCCAAAGCTGCGTGAGAAGCAGCTTCCTGTTCCTTCGCTCGTCCAGCAGCCTTTTCTGCCTTCTTGAGTTCCGCTTCGTATCTAGAAAGAACTACCGATATGGAATGACGAGAAACGTATTCTAAAAACATTGAAAACAAAGCCAACTTTTTCAAATTTTTCTTGATGGCAGCCTTGGCAGCTGGCTCCCACGTTTTCGTACCATCCTCTTTAACCGTTCTAACCAAAAACTCGCCGGAGTTCTTTGATAAAACCATGGCCTGAAAGAAGAAAAGGGAATATGTGTATATAACTGAAATCAGAAAGAGTAAAGAAAAAAGGGTCTCATCCAGTAAGAGGGACACTGTGGTTTAGAAAGGTCAGGCGCGTTTGAAACCATGAAATACATATTCGTTTACTGTTCATTTATAGGACAGCCTGATAGGTATAGCAGCTCCTAGGGGCCGTGAGTAGTCTTCGTTTTGCTCGGGAGACTTCCTCCTGCTCTTGAACTTAGCTGCTCACCAAAAATATTACTCTTCATAGACGTTAACGTCATCCAGCACAAGAATACAAACGTTATGAATAGAAAAATTGAAGAAAGAATACTGAGCCAAATTGGCGGTAGAGCAAAGCACCGCAATATCCCCCTCCTCTCTCACTGGAGAAGACTGAAAAAATGAAAGATAGAAAAGAAATGAATTTCAAAAAATAACGTTTTGTTTCACCTGGAAAAGTGTACCAAGGGGTCGCTCTTCACTCCCGTCATTTTCATCTGAGCCGGTGTCAGGGCAAATGTACAGCTTAGTCATACCGGAACTGCTCCCTAGCTAGAAATAATTTTACCCTGAAAGACAGTAGTTGTGAATCAATAAGTTGAATTTGATCGCCAATAAGCACAAGAATGTAACTTCAGTAGGTCGGCAAACCATCACCATAACCCCTTGGCGTCAGATAAACTGTGTTGTGCACATGAAATGCACACTTACACTGAACTTTACGACATAGATTGTGACACAACATCACGTAATATCCTTTGCTTGAGAAAGACGCTTCGCAGAGGCGATAATGATGCATGGCAGCTACAGACACCAAGGCAACAGACATCTCAAAAGATTCTTAATCTAATATAGTTGTTTTAATGTGTGAGAACGTTAGAAAGGTTAACTGTGCTTCCTAGCTGTAGTATCCTTTACACTGCAATTTTGTATAGGGGTGCAGTCATCTACAGTGGAGCCTCGCTCGAAAACTAGCGCATCTCGATCATTACTGCCTTTTACATCACAGTATTTCTTTGCTCTGCTTCGAAATAAGGTGCTGAAGCTTTTGGGAATTCCAAGTGTGGACTTTTTGAACGATTTGGTTTCGTTTCCATAGCAGGAGCCATCGCCTGATCTGTTTGGGATTTCGTAGGTATTCACACAACGGTTCTTCATGCAGGCCGCAGCTTTATGTCGCAGCAGGTCATGCCACTGGATGTGCGTTCACGTGTGCTGTGTCGCTGCGCTTACACATGGATACGCTCAGCCATCTTCATACGCTGACACCATAGAAAGGATTCACTCATGATTGCATGCTTCACATTGTCCCAGAATCGAAGAACCCATCCAGCCAACAAACCTTCCCCTCCCCTAGACCTCTTTGGGCTAAGCTTTAAGAGCCCAGGAATAGGAGCGTGTAAGTAATTTCAATCTTCCCTAAATCTTTCCCTCCTTCTGGGCTTAGTCCCTAAATGCGTCACCCGACGTCATCAGCGCCCATCTGAAAACAAGTTTACAAGTTTGACCATACAAATGTAATGGTCTATGCTATGACACAATGCTACCGAAAACAGTACGATGCAGTGCAGTGATCATCTTCTGTTCCCCTTTTCCACTTTCTCCAGCAATTTCTGTTTTGATGTGATGGGTTTAGCGCGATGTTCCTTAACGAAGGTTCGTGGTGGCGCCCGAAATTCGACGTCGTTGGG